AGAATTAATCTACGAAAAAAATGTAGGCAATTCTGAATTTTAGAAGGTTTTACAAAAATTCTACAAGCTAATTTATACATGATTTCATTGGATATTATAGTAAAACAGTTATCGATTTTATAGTAGGATTTAGCTATAGTGAAAGGAGCTTCAAGTGCAAAGGGTTAAGAGTGTAGAATTAATCTACGAATAATTACATGTATATGTAGATACGTTCATTAATGGACTTCTTAATCACCCATTATGCAATATACATGTATACATTACGTATCGCGATATTAGATATCATTATCAATTCAAAATCATCTTAATCGCACCGTGTTCAGTATCATCTTTACTCAGAAAATCTCACCAATACGCGAATTATATTTTTACCAAAGAAAACTCAAAATTATACAAAATAAATCGTTCTCTTATATTATACTTGAATAAAGAAATTAATCCTTCATTAAATTTACATAATCTAATTTCCAGGATGAATCGGGACTAAATTAACTTTCTGCACAATTTAATAACCCAATATAGCGTGACAAATTAAAAATATTTTTAATCAAAGTCCAACTCGCGAGACCCATCCAACAATGCAGAGACCTGATCCCCGAAGTGCAAAGTAAAACGTTGAAGAGGGACAAAAGACCGCCATTTATGAAGACATTGCTATATTTGGTATCGAAAGATGGAAGCAAAAATTCGAGAGAAACGCTATACCGTGTTCGGAGATAAGTCATTGGCGGATAAAGGAACACGTGTGCAAAGTGTAGCGCAAAGCATTAATCGATTCCATCGGTCCCGTACGCGGCGCGTTTAACCTAACTTTGCTGAAACAAACGAGTGTCGGAACAAAGCGATGGTCCTGTCGCGCCCTCTATCCCGTTCACAGATTCGATGTCTGCCGGAGAAAAAAGGAACGGAGGAACAAGGCAGGCGGAAGATGCGGTCGCGATAACGACGGTGGAAATTGAATTCTCTTACCAGTCATCCTGCTGTGAAAGTGCATACGCACACAAACTTAGGCGATCCACGTCGAGAAAAGGGAGTCGAGGGTTCTGTCTCTTTTGTCTCGAAACCAGAGCACACGTAAACGTGCCTACGTTGCTCGGTTAATGGTGATACAGCCGAACAAAACGCGAAAAATAACCTATAATGGTCGAATTTTCATTTTACAGATTCGCTACTTCGATAATCTTTGAAATTTGTAATTTTAAGAGATTCGGGGATCTAATATTCCGAAATATCAAGAATAAACTTACCAAAATTTCAACAGTTGTATTCTGCATGGGTTGTCGTTGCTTCTGTCACCTCACTTCACTCCTCATGCAGCAATACCTGAAACATCGAAATGAAACAGTTCTACGTGGTAATTTATACATGCTAACCTTCCATTTTGTTTAAAAAAATATCACCGACCCTATAGTATTTAGAAAAATTTCGCCGAATTACTTTCCCGTGTACAGGTTATGTTTACCGTTCGATTTATTTGCCGCGTCGAATGGTAAAATTTAGTGAGAAATATCGAAGTGTACAGGTTATGTTTATCGTTCGATTTATTTACCATGACGAATCGGAAAATTCAGTTGGGAACGAATATCGATTTTCTCGTAGTCGATACGAAATTGAAAATTAATCACCGTTGGTCGTCTTGCGTAATTTTTCCAATGACCGAGTACGAAGAGCGTAATGAAAGGGATGGTTTAGGTTAGGTCGAGCCGTGCTCGTTGCGTAACAGTCGTATACAGTCTTGGGGACTACTTAACGCCAAGCTCTCATCCGCTAGACTGTCGAGCGATGCCCGGTGATCTAGTTAGCGAAATTGGAATTGAAAGCGTGACTGTTCGACATTACGATAATTTATCACTCGAATAAATGTTCGTTCGTGGTGTACAGCCATGTACAAGTATCAATTTACATGACGCAACGGATACGTAATCTGATATATCGTGTAACGGCGCGCACAGAATCGCGAATGGCGGTTCTCATCGGAACAGACGCCGAGGGTAACGCAGAATCGGAAATGATAAATTTCCCCCTTTTACGTGCCACAATTGTAGGTGCTTTCCTTATCGACTACCCGCGCCGAACGCTCGCCGCAGCGTCATTTTTAACTCGATCGTGCTGGCGCGCAACGACGAGTCGTTTTACTTATTCATTTCTTTATTAACCATTTCGTTACGTATCGCAGACAATGGGACAAAGGAACGAGGGCGAGGTATCGGCAAATAAATTGCGTTAAATTAGTTTCGGCGCTCGAATAAGCGACATTTATTAGCACGTACCTCGAAGTTGTCTGTCCCTCGTTTATTTCGAGCAAATTGCTGTTTTCTTCTCGCGCGCCGTGTTTGCCATATATTAATGATGCTTTAATGGAATGGGAGTGTTCGTTAACCTCTCGTGCTCGATATTTCTTTCCGTTAAGTTAGCACCACTCAGCGAGTAATTACGCGCGGACAAACTCGTCAAATAAAGCAGCTTATTGAAATTATTCGTTACGTAGGATTTAGCCTGCTTCAAATATCGATCTATCATCGGTGTCGGAATTAGAATTAATTGTGTTTACATCCTTGTTAACCTGTACCCCGTGTGACATAAATCAATCGGCGCGGAAAAGTGCACGAATATTTGTTAACGAAAGTAAATATAACAGCGAAAATATCGCGCGAATAATAATATCGCGAAAATATCACGCGAATAATAATATCGCGAAAATATCACGCGAATAATAATATCGCGAAAACTGTCGATTACGGAACGTCAGATTCGCACTGTAAGGTCCGCAGCGAAGAACACGACTGAACGAATAATCTAACGCGAAGATACGTATTGATAATTAAGTGCCCTTTTTTATCGATATTAATCGGTTAAGTGTGAATCTGTCCTGCACGCAGCGCCACGGTAAACGAAGCCCTTCGACATCATGGCGACAGTCCTGAATTTTCCGCCGTCGAAATGTGCGCGTACTATTTACTCGTATCATTAGTGCATCTTAAAGTGCGCTTTACCCGTCATCGAAGGAAACACGTAGCTCCATGTGACTGAGGAACGCATAGGAATACGAGATCGAGGAAGAGATATAAGAGATAAAGAGAAAGGTGAGTGAATTGTCGAATTAATATCGTCTTGTTGTCGTGATCGTAATGGACGACGTAATCGGATGCACGTAGAGATGGAAGATAAAAACGATTCGAAACGTTCGGGTCTTTACGTCTCAAAGGAATTAGACTGTGGGTAAGAAAAAGGAAGGAAAAAAAAAAATATCAGGCTCGGAGAGGTTAGACAGGTTCGAATGGCGTTCGTTTGGAGAGGCACGGCTTGTCTGGGGACGGTAAATGGGCGAAAAGACGGCGGGAGAACGCGTAGACACATCGCGAGAAGAAGTAGTAAGCCGTGAATAGAAGTGCACTGGTAGATTGAACAAAAGGTGAACCCACAAAGTGGGTCTAGCCGTGTAGGTCCGCGGAAGGCGGGAGGCAGCCGGCCAACTCCGTAGGTAGAGATATATCGGCGCTCGGGCGTATTCGGGCAGGCTCGTGCGTTCCCGCTGGCTGGTGGTGGCCGCGCACCTCCGCCAAGTTTCACGCTGCGTGGAACGAAACTCGTACGCGATCAGCTCGACCGAGGCAATCCGGCATCCTTACGTATGCTCGTTGCGTTCCTCGAACGATATGGTGTTTTTCTCCCCGTAATTCGTGACCCTGATCGCGAGATAGCTCCGTCGCGACAGCTAAAACCGCGTGTCGCGTGAAGAGAGCCAGGTTCGATCCCCGGACGGTTCGACCCCCTCTCGCTGTCTGTGACTGAACGAGAGCGAGCACGTCGGTTGCCGCTGGATTCTCGAAGCAGTGTACCGTAAAAAGTTCGCGGAACACGGTGAAAACGCGAGTCGTCCGTTCTCGCGCGTACGTCTACACACGGTGCTTCACGCTTCACGACGTATCGTCGCCTCTCGCTGCTGGAGAGGGAGAAAGAGAAAAAGAAGAGAAGCCTCGAAGCGTGTCTGCGCCGTTGACACTCGCCGTTCGTGCGTTCTCTCGCGCCGGGAAGCAGCTGGAAGTGACAACCCTCCGGAGAAAAGCCGTGTCCAGCACGTTCCATAGGAGCCGTGTGACTCGTACGAGCGACACTCGACGAATGACGGGAAGGAAAGGGCCCCCGATAGGGCCAGGTAACGATCCGAGCGAAGGAAAATCGGAGTCGTAGGCGGGGCCTAAGGTCGGGGACACGTGACACGGAAACTGTCACGCCGCCCTTGTCCTCCCCTCCTTCACCCCCCTCCACTCGACCGAAAAGCACCGAGCCGGCTATACGAGCGCTGCTTCTACCAACCGACAGCGTGCCGCCGAACGCTTCTGTTCGTTCCACGAGTCCTCGGCTTCTTTATTTCGTCGTGCTCCACGCACCAATTTTTTCCTACTGGATATGCACGCTCTACGATGCTTATGACGATGCTCCTGTAAGAACACTCCAACAACGCCGTCTCATTTTTCCATGCTTGCCACGTTTACAGTTTCATCAACGTCGCATCGAGATCAGTTTTAACGATTCTTAAGAAGTAACTACGCGAATGTGATGCTTCCACGTTTACCGACCGTTCCACAAATATGCTGCTCTTTTTCTACTATATTTCGTGACAAAAAAGAGAATATTTGTTGATGCCCCTGTAACAGTGCCTGAAAGTTAACCTATACGTCGTGTTTGACAGCTCGCTCGTCCAGCCGCGTGACATCAAGGACGATCATCGAGGATTATGATAATATTCGTTCCGAATTCGATCGTAGTGCGCAGCTACGAAGCATTCCGACGCACGTCGTTCTCATCGCCCGCGACCGATGTTATTCGATCGTGCTTCTCGACAGGATTACCTCGCTAGCCCCGAATGATGCTCGTCTGGGTCGCCGCTTGCCGTAACGCGTTCGTGGACATTTCGCCCGAGGCTCGAGCGAGATTCGACGCGGTCGGGTCCGCGGTTTGACGCGGGTCGCCGCGTCGCCGTGAACGTCCCCAGGATGCAGCAGGGTAGCGTGGGCGACGGGGACTCGGCCCCGAGGAATTCGCCGAAAAACGCCAACTCGAGCGACGCCGACGGCCGAGTTCGAGTTAAAGTCGAAGTGCCGGAGTCGACGGAGGTGTTCGACGTGAAACGCGAGCCCCAGGACGACTATCATGCCGTTCCACACGATTTCCACTTCGACAGAAAACCGTTCGTACCTCCGACGAAACTCGGGAATTCCGATATAGTTAGTCAGTGTCAACCGCTGCCTCAAGGTTACCCACGGCCGGTAACCGCCGGACTGTCGAATTCTTATGGATTTCCGCATTTCTACGCGCCCCAAGCGATGTTGCCGCCGTCGTTCCACGCCAGGCCATCCCCGGACCGACCAATCGCGAAGGTCGACGAGCACGACCAGGAGCAGGAACGTTACAGAGTGCACAGTGTCGCCAGTGACAGTGTTTTTTTGCACCATGAACCGCATAGATACGAGATGGGCGACTACCACGGGAAGGGGTACCCCGGCGTCCCTTACGCCGCGTTTCGGCCGTCGATGCAGCAACGCACACCGGTCTATGCCGGGCACAACAATAGCGGCTACAGGGCCGCGCAGTATCAAAACAGGAAGCGCAAATGGGGCGGCGCTACCATTCGCGGAATGCCACCGTCCATGCCTGTGAGTTTTTCCGAAAGTTTCTCATCCTCTGCGACTGGTTTAGGTTAGGTTCGCGATACCGATAATCACTTTCAGCCAAAATAGCTGAGAAAATGGGAATAATTGTGCCCCAAAAGTTCGGTTCTTAAGTTCTCATTTGATCAACTTGTGATCACTATAGGTGTCAAACTAGGTTATTTTCGTTAACTTGTTAATTAACTAGTTGCCCAACTGGTTGCAGTAGTATTTTGAGGTTAATAGAAAAGAGATTTTGTGAAAGGAATTTCTTAATACGAGGAAAAATATAATTACCTATTAGTAGGTTGTGCGTGGTTCCAAAATAAATATGGTGACAAGAAATTTGCAGCAAAATCGTGATTATATTACGACGTTTAGTTACTTTCTCAATGTTTCTCCTAGGTAGTTCTCACCCTAGGATAGGGGAAAAATTCACCATAGGGAAAAATTGTCACTTTTTCAATTTTGCACTTCTCTAAATATACTTGGCCATGAAAAATCATTGTTCGTTCATCGTTAGTTCGAATTTGATACCGTCCAATTTTTCCACCCCTTTCGGGAGATTAGAATAAAAAATAAAAAATATTTGTATTGTTACCTGATCGCGCAAATTAATCGCTACGAATAAAAACAATCATACATAGTTCGACCATAGCGGAAAGTGAAAGCGTCGGAATGCAACGCAATTGCTATTTTCATAAAACCAAATATTCCAATGCAATTTTTTACCTTGAGTTTAAAATACCATTAACCATTGAAATATCCAATCTTTTGCAAACTCGATTCACTGTTAAATAACATCAGAAAATGCCTTCTCTATCGCACATGTCAGCGCATGGTAGCTGCCTAAATCATTATCTAAATTTTATACAATTATGTAAGCGAGGTAAAACGATTTTATTTGCTTAAATTGTCTGTAATTCATTTTGACGACATTCGTTAACCACGTAATCCTAATCCACGCCGATAAAATTGGCCATTTATAGGCACTCATAGCACCCATAGCACCCTCAGCACCCACTAGTTCACTCGTGTACCTCTATCCAAGCTGACGTCACAAGGGTAGGATACATTAGTAGGATATATTAGTTTCACGTACAATGGTACCAATAAACGTGTGTACCACGTCGTTGGCAATTCTGCGACAAAAGCATTACGACGTGCGTGGCACGTCTTTCTAGCGCAAATGGTTAAAAATCAAATTTGGTGCCTATAGTAGCAAGTGTTTCGTCACCTAAAGGAAGCTCGACCACCTGATCGTGTTACCACATTTTGAATCATACCTGAACGTCAACGCCTAATAAAAAGGCAGTCTTTGCATGAGACGCGGAAGTGGCCACGATTTTACTTGCAGATAAATTTTAATCGTACAAGTTAATGATGCATCGAACGATACTTTCTTTTGCTCTCCGGGACCTGACGCAGTGTAAACAACTGCGTTCGTGCATTATGTAAGACAGGCGCATTTAATCGAACACGCGAATATCTCGCTGATATTTTACGTAGACGCGAGGATAGGCCTGGCTAACGCCCAACGTTCGCGCCTCGGGGAAACAAAGAACGACCCAAAGGCGCGAGGTTAACGCAACCAGCTAAATAGACAGAGCGATGCTGACTTGCGATTACTTATGGGAATGATCGCGCGTTATAAAGGTCGTATATTATGACTTCGTGATTTCCCGAACGCAGGGATGCAGGTTAAACTATCTTTAGGGTTCTGCCGAGATCTTCAGTGAATAGGGCAAATGGGAGTGTCAAAAGGCTCTGTTGATCTCTGGACTCGAGGAGAATTTTAATCGACAATGACATAAATAATTTCTCGGTAAAAAGCTTCGTCATATTGACCTGGGCAATTTTAGGGGGTTGGTACAAATTGTCTCTAATTAGCCTGACAGGTTTTTATATTTGGCAGTCGCAGTGATTACAATGTAAGTTGTGTATGACATGACACTTAACTGGGAATCTTAGATGAGATAAGGGCTGGAAAATGATTCTGCGAGAAACGCTCCCAGAAGTGCAGATAGAGCTGACAATGATGTGCAGACATGCTTAAAGATACTACTCTGAAGGCAGCTATTAGTTTAGATAACCTTTTATCAGCGCGAACAACTTGGTCATAACTTTCCTGATAACACAAACGAGTCTAATCTAGAAGTGGTCTATCACTCGTAGACTTTGCAATTGATACCTCTGATCCGCGACTAAAAATAATCTTTTTGAGGAAGACAAAGCACTCGACTAGACAAAGACAAACCACTTGACAAGGCCCTAAACAATGCGAATGGGGACAAAATTACACGTTCAGGGCTTCAGCATCCTACAATCCAGCTCTATCTCGACAATTAGATGCACACCGTGTTAAGAGCACATCCTATCTAACAGAAATTCTCAAGAACCTGACTTAAACCTGAACTTGGATCTAATCTATAGATGTATCGAATCTAGAAAGGTTAAATAATCTTTGAGTAATTCGAATTAACACTTGGTATAGCAAAAATTCTAGCAAACCTTTCTCATGCATCCAATTTGGGGTACCTAAAGGTAGACAACCTGGACAATCTTTGATAAATTAAACAAAATTAGGCAATTTTCTCTGATGCTCAGTCCAGCACAAACCCTGCAGTACACCAAACACCAAAATTACACGTCCTAGGGCATCAGGAGCCAAGATTCTGGACCTCAGAGCTAGATAATCCAGCCCTATTTCGACAATTAGATGCACACAGTGCTAAGAACCGATCCGATCTAACAGAAATTCTCAAGAACCTGACTTAAACCTGAACTTGGATCTAATTTCTAGGTATATCGAATCTAGAAAGGCCAAATAATCTCTGAGTAACTCGAATCAACACTTGGTATAGCAAAAATTCTAGCAAACCTTGCTCATGCATCCAATTTGGGGTACCTAAAGGTAGACAACCTGGACAATCTCTTGATAAATTAAACAAAATTGGGGAACTTTCTCTGATGCTCAGTCCAGCACAAACCCTGCAGTACACCAAACACCAAAATGACACGTCCTAGGGCATCAGGACCCAAGATTCGGGACCTCAGAGCTAGATAATCTAGCCCTATTTCGATAATTAGATGCACACAGTGTTCAAAACACGATGATGTAACTGTTTGCGTAGATTATAAGTGAAAAGACGAAGAGGAATGCGAGGTGTAACTCGGGACCAGGGAGAAATCGTCGGTCACGTCGCGTTATCGTCGCACGACCTGCGAAGACTGCCTGGGGTTCCTCGTGGTTTTAATGAAATCGAATGAAAGTTCGCGATCGCGCGGTCAAAAATTACGCCGGTCCACGGCCGAAATTACAGTGATTACACTCGGCGTGTCGGTTTGGCCCCTCGGGGGTTGGACCCCGCGCCACGGCGCGTAGCGGTCCGGGACGGCGCGGTGGGGCCCGTTGAGCGGCGATCACGAGCGGGAAACGGCCGGCGCGGAACGGTTTGCTCAACGATTATTATAATATCGGTGGATTAAAATAGATGCGCGTGCGGCGGACGCGTTTCGCCGGCGACTTCTGGTCTGGCCGCGGTCCGCCGGCCAGTCGCATTACGTATTCTATGGTTATATAATGCGTACGAACCGCGTGGTTACTTTATAAATTACGCCAACAGCCGCCCGGCTACCGAGCGCTTCGATTAATTCAAATTGCCCGCGCACCCGCCCCGCATGGATTAGTCCGCCGCGCTCCTTTTTTGCTCCCGCCTAATTGCGACCTGCGGAACGCGCGTAATTCGTGGATGGAACGTGACCGGGAAGTGGGTCGCGAACCGACGCGTCATTGGGTCAGACTGACCCAATCGCGAACGTATCCAGGAGCCCTCGGCGTTGGCCCTGGTGTCGGGTCTCAGCTTCCAGGCGCCATTTATGGGTTCCAGGGCTGTTTCGTGATACGTGGGGCCTGCATGGGACCTTGGACGTAATGGTTCGATTTGTGTACGGTTGATTCAGGTTCCCAGGGTTAGAAAGAGTGGTCTGCGATTTTGTCAGATGTATTATTTACCAGGAGGAGTGAAATGTGCCTAGTTAACCTTTTAATCGGCAGTTCGCTTGTTGAAAGCACACTCCGCGTGTTTACGGTAAATGCGAAAGGTCAACTCGCATATTACGCGATTATTAATGAATTATGTATTTAATATCAATTTCTGCAATTTGTGGCTAACATTTCCTCGGAGATGATAGTCAAAAATGGATGTTCTTCGATGAATACGGTTTAATTGAGAATTAAGTTCAGTAAATCGTATAGTCTGTAGTATGGTACAGGTATCAATGAAGTTTGAGCATGTATAGTCTTTAAAATTTCGTGACAAGTTTTACTCGTAGTCTCCAGTTGAAAGACTAACTTCAAGAATTTATCTTTCACAAGGATAGAAGTCAAAGAATGTTATGGTACTCTAAAATCAGAAACCAGGGACTTTTTGGCCAGCATCTACTAGTAAACTTACAACTAGGCCTTAGTTACAGGGTTGGCTACCCAGACACGTCTTCCAAGATAGAAGATGTATTTTCATGCATTTGAAAAGGATCAGAACTCGCAAGAATTATTTGACAGCACCTCAACGTCTTCAATAGTACAGGTATCAAAGGTTTTCATGCATTTGAAAAGGATCAGAACTCGCAAGAATTATTTGACAGCACCTCAACGTCTTCATCCACTACATCTACAAAAGTTCATGCACGGTCACTGTCATTGCAGGCCATTAACGGTAGATCATTGATCACCGATAGACCTATGACTCTCAATCTCCATTTGCATCTCGTAACCCACAACCACCTATTTCCATTGAAATTAATTGATCTCCATATTTACCACGCGATCTTTCATAGGTGCCTTTTGAGACACCAGGAAGAATTACTAGCATCGCTTGCAGGTACCAAGAATCGACCGCGAGATGTCCATTTAGGCATCAGATGATCGCGGATTCGCGCCAAATCCAGCCGAAGCGCGACTCTCGACTAGCCGGCTATCTTCCGCGCCGAAAGTGTCCGCGCTG